CCAGCGTGTTCGGAGCCTGTGCTCCACGATGGGAGAGGCCACAACAGGGAGAGGCCCGTGTACCACAAAAAGAAAAAAAAAAAGTTGCTATTAACATTCTTATGCTGAGAATTTTTTGTCTGTTTTTGGTAAACCTTTGTTTTCATTTCCTTTGGATAAATACCTAGGGTATATTCGTTTTCTAGGGTTGCTGTAATAAATTACCACAAACTTAGAGGCTTAAAACAAAGAAATTTATTCTTTCACAGTTCAACATCAACATACTGGAGGGGCTGGTTCCTTCTGGAAGTTTTGAAATGGAGTCTGTTCTTTGTCTCTCTTAGCTTCTGGTGGTTGCTGGCAATCCCTAGTATTCCCTGGCTTGTAGCTGTATCACTCTAATCTCTGCCTCTGTGGTTACATGGGCTTCTTCCTTCTATATTTATCTGTATCCAAATCACCATCTCCTTGTAAGGATTCCAGTCATTGAATTAAATAAAGCTCATTCTAATCCAGTATAACCTCATCTTAACTTGATTACATCTGCGAAGACTCTATTTCAAAATAAGGCCACATTCACATGTTCCAGGTTGATATTAATTTTGGTGGGATAATATTCAACTCAGTACACTGAGTCATAGGGTAACTGTATGTGTAGTTTTATAAGAAACGACTAGAACTTTTCCAGAGTGGTACAATTTCTCACTTCCATGAACAACAAACACATGAGAGTTCCTGTCACTTCACATCTTCCCCGACAGTTTTCATTTTATTTCTGGTGATGGATGTGTAGAGTTATCTCATGGGGGTTTCCATTTTGCTGACATTTAATGACAGTGAACCCTTCTGTATGCTTTCTGATCATTAATATGCATCATATACCTTACTTTGTGAGGTATACATTCAAATCTTTTTCCAATTTTTCTGCATTGTTTTTATTATTGAGTTCTATGAGTTCTTTATTAATCCTGGATACCAGTCCATTGTCATTTGTAAATTTTGCAAACATCCTCTCAGTCTGAAACTTTTCTTAACAATAACTTTTGATGAGCAGATATTTAATATTGAGGAAGTCTAATTTTCCTCTGTCATGGCAACCTGTGACCAGCGAAGTTAATACATAAAATTAACCATCACATATGCTAATATTTCTTTTATATTTTCTTAAAATCATGGAGATGGCATATTATGAAAGTTGTCCAATTTCCAGGGATTAATTCTGATTAATATTGAAAATGTTCCCTTTCTACATTTGTGCACCAAGTCTTAAAATGCTTTAAATTGTTTAAAAGCAGTGAATGCACAGCATTCTTTCTTCTGCTGTAATCCAGTGTCTATGGTCATTTATTTAACTCACTGCTATACTTTCCTTCCTCACAACTGCAGCTGCAGAAGGCAAAATTTCTTTAAGGAGCCATTAGACATGGATTTTGTTTCTCCTTTGGAACGTTTAAGTTCATGTACAATTATTGAAGTAGTTACTGGTCTGAAAAATCAATTGGCATGAGAGCAGCTGTAGATTATAAAAGAATTTATAAACTGATTAACTTTTTTCTACATCATGGAAATTTTTGTGACTAACTGAAAAGCATTACCTTGGTAACATTTTATTTTTTATTTCTCCTTCTATTGAGGAACTTCTGGATGTTTAAAACCAAAGTGGACTTTGTAATTCTTAATCACTTTTAGCTAAAATTTGCCACATTACTTGATAGGCACAAAAATGATGAATGAGTAGTCATATTAGAGGCTATAGTTCCCATAAGGGCAGTGTTAACTATTTAAATCAGTCACTGTATTTTATACAGAAGACACTGAACGGCACACCTGTAATGATGTGCCGTTTACCACTAGCCTTAGACTTTATGCCTAGGCGGGAGAATAAACAGGCCAAGGAGAAGGCAGGGGCTGTTTTTCTCTCCCCATCACAGACAAGGAGACAGTAGTGCAATACTGAAAGCTCAGCTGTCAGAACTTTAGAATTACAACAAAGTATTTCTTGGAAACTGCAGGCCAGAAATGTACATACACGCCACGAATTTTGAAAATGTGGACAGCCTAGCTTATCAAAATAAACTGGCTGATAGTTCAGTGAGCTGAACTAGAGACCAACCATGGTGGGCCCCCTGACTGAAAGGATGTTCACTTTCACAGTGAAAGTCCAGCAGGGTCAGCACTTGTGATTATCAAGGCCATTTCACAGGAGCTTCTAGGTCTAGCAATACACACACACACACACACACACACACACACACAGAACTAAATTTACTGAATAGTTTGCTGAGGGGCTTTTAAGTATTAGGAAGGTGTTTCATGGTAGCTCTTCTTGTTAGTATTGAAAGCTAGCCTGTTAGACCAGATGGAATGAGTAGTTTTCTGTAAAAGGGTCAGGTCGTAAATATTTTAGTCTTTGTAGCCTTTATATTCTGTGTTGCACCTACTCACCTTTGTTGTTGTATGTGAAAGCTTCCATAGACACAACATGAAGACAGAGCGTGGCTGTGGTCTAATAGACCTTTATTTACAAAACACCTAGTTGGCTGTAGTTGCTGCCCAGTGTTATAGACGGTTCATAAAATACATCTCACTTTTGATTGATGAAGAAAGAATCAGGTAGGTCTGCAAAGGCTTCTGGCAGATAGAAGCAGAGTTATGGAGCAAGGTATACAAATTTGATATCTGTTAGAGCTATTTTAGGTGGAAATTTTTCCATTTACCACAGTTTAAAAAAAAAAAACACTGCGAAAAGCAGGTCTTGGTGGAGTCAAAATCCTTTAATGGGTTGCAGGCCTAGACTATGTTTTTGTGTTTTACTGCTGAATTCACACTCCCAGATAGAGAACCCACTGCATAATGCTCTAGGAAATACTTGTTTAGGATGGGGGAAACACCTTCCAGTTCATTTCCCACATGGGTCTCTGACCTGTCCTCTCTATTGCCTCCACCATGGGGCCTCTAGGTGGAGTGACTCCCTTTTTTGACTCCATCCTTTCTCGTAGGAAATGTCCCTAAAGAAATTTGTAATAAGTTATGTAGTTTAACTCTCAGTAAAAGCATATATTTGTAGATATTGTTTACATCAGTGTTAATGACTGTGGCTTGTAAGATAATTGTATTGGGGGCAGATGTACAACTCTAATGGCAGCAATTTATAGGGCTAGAGCTGCCTGTGATGCTTTCTTAAAACCCTTTAAGCTGGGCTGATATTTAGAGCTGGCTCATTGTGTGGGTTTTATGTGTTGTAAAAGGATATATATTAATGTGTCACCCTGGGATGAAAGGTAGGTCTGTGAAGGAAATCTTTGCTGTGGGAACATCTGAGGAATGACTGCTGGACAAGTGTTACCATCCACAAGGTACCTGTGGTGATTCTGACCGACACTTTCTCTCCAGCAGAACCAAGAACAGAATTCCAGCCCCATCTCTCCTGCCCAGTGAGTTTTTCCAGTCCACAGTTCCTCCATCAATATGTGCTCTGCGGTCACTTCCCTCAGCTCTTCCCAGGTTCATCTGCAGGAAGCCACTTCCTACTAGAAGCTCCAAGCTGCTCGAATAACAAAGCAGAAGATGGAGAGAGAGAAGGCTCTTGCACTGTGTTTGGGAGGCTGCGGCTGAGCGGGACTTCAAGGGCATTCTTCAGCCTATCTCAAGGTCAGCCAGTAGACCAGGAAGGCAACAGTGGTGGAGGAATAGATCAGGGGGTGATCCCTGAGGAGACAGATGCAATGTTGACAGGGGCAGACATCTCAGTATCTGGAGCAGTCATATGTGAAAAATACAGACTAGGACTTAGCACAAAGTCAAGCCTCTTTAGCTTCCAGAAGCTTCATGTGTGCCCTGAATGTGGCAGAAGCTTCTACCAGAGGTCAGACCTCATCAAGCACCAGAGGACACACACAGGGGAGAAGCCCTATAGTTGTAGGGAGTGTGGGCGAGGCTTTGGCCGGAAGTCCTCCCTCACCATACACCAGAGGAAACACTCAGGGGAGAAGCCCTACATGTGTAGGGAGTGTGGGCGACACTTCAGGTATACATCTTCCCTAACTAACCATAAGAGGATACACTCTGGGGAGAGACCCTTTGTATGTCAGGAGTGTGGGCGAGGCTTTCGCCAGAAGATTGCCCTCATCCTACACCAGAGGACACACTTGGAGGAGAAGCCTTTTGTGTGTCCAGAGTGTGGAAGAGGCTTTTGCCAGAAGGCATCACTCCTCCAACACCGTAGCTCACATTCGGCTGAGAGGCCCTTCTTGTGCCTTGAGTGTGGGCGTGGCTTCAGGCAGCAGTCGCTGCTCCTCAGTCATCAGGTCACACACTCAGGGGAGAAGCCTTATGTTTGTGCCGAGTGTGGGCACAGCTTTCGCCAAAAAGTCACTCTCATCAGACACCAGAGGACACACACAGGGGAGAAGCCTTACATGTGCTCTGAGTGTGGGCGTGGCTTTAGCCAGAAAGTCTCCCTCATGGGCCACCAGAGGACACACACGGGCGAGAAGCCTTATGTGTGCCCTGAGTGTGGGCGTGGTTTTGGTCAGAAGGTCACCCTCATCAGACACCAGAGGACGCATACTGGGGAGAAGCCTTATCTGTGCTCTGAGTGTGGACGTACATTTGGCTTCAAGTCACTCCTCACCAGACACCAGAGGACACATTCAGGGGAGGAGGCTGATGTGTATGGAGTATGTGAGCAAAGACTTGGTCAGAAGACCCACCTCACCTCTGACCAGAGAACATACTCAGGAGAAAAGCCATGTGTGTGTGATGAGTGTGGACGTGGCTTTGGCTTCAAGTCAGCTCTCATCAGACATCAGCGGACGCATTCAGGAGAGAAGCCATATGTGTGCAGGGAGTGTGGTCGTGGCTTTAGCCAGAAGTCTCACCTCCACAGACATAAGAGGACCAAGTCTGGCCATCACCTCCTGCCACAAGAGCTGTTCTCTTGACGTTTCCTTTCTTTTCCCCATGAGTGTGTAGATGGCAGAAATCACTAGGAAATATTCCACTTTCCTTAAATTCAGTCGAGGAAAAAAATGTTGCATTCTTTCAGTGATCTTAAGATAGTTGATTTATGGTTTACTTCTTGCACTAGCAATGTGTTTTAATTTGCTAGGACTGCCATAACAAAATACCGCAGACGTGGTGGCTTAAAGAACAGAAGTTTGTTTTTTCAAAGTTCTTGAGACTGGAAGTCTAAGATCAATGTGTAGGCAGTTTGTTTTTTACTGAAGTCTCGCCCCTTGGCTTGCAGATGATTGCATTCTTGCTGAGTCCTGAATGGCCTTTTTTCTGTGTGTGTGCTTCCCTTGTATCTCTCTTCTTCTGAGGACACCAGCCATACTGGGTTAGGGCTCCACCCTATAACCTCATAATATTTACCTTTAAAAGTCACATTGTAGGTTATAGCTTCAATGTATGAATTTGGGGGAACAATTCAGTCTTAACAACTCAGCCCTCTGGACCCCCCAGATTCATATTCTTCACATACAAAATACATTCACCCCATCTTAAAAGCTGCAAACATCTTAACCCATTTCAGTATCAACTCTAAATTCAAAATCTCACCTAAATCTCTTCTAAATTGAGTGTGGATGGGAGTAGAGGTACGTTTCATCCTTTGGCACAATTCCTTTCCAGCTGTGAACGTGTGAACCAGACAAGTTATTCGCTTCCAAAATACAATGATAGGATAGGCAGAGAATTCACATTTCCATTCTAAAAGTGGAAAGAAGGATTGCTGGGTCCCAAGCAAGTTTAAAACCTTGCAAGGCAAATTATGTTAGTTTTTAAGGCTTGAGAATAATCTTTAGCTATGTCTTCTGCCCTCTGGTCCCACTGGGGTGGCAGCCCCACTTTCTGGTCTCACTGGGATGGCAGTGGTGATACCTGGCCCACTGAAACCATGGAAGAACCATACGGCTCCTCAGACATTTATTCTCTGGGCCTGTTTTGGAAATGGCAGACCTGCTGGTCTCTGTTTCACCTTTGGGGCCATTCTTTCCTTTTCTTGATGGATAATGTATTTGTAGTCAGATAGATAGCTCTGTTTTCCCTTCTTGTAGAATCTCAGAAATCTGACAGCCTGCCTTCATTCTGTCCCGTCTAGGTCACCTTTAGTTCTACTGAGATGGTTGATTGGTTCCAAACTTACCTCTCTGTGTTTTATACTTATTTCTTTTATTTATTTATTTTTGGCTGTGTTGGGTCTTCTTTGTTGCGTATGCACTTTCTCAAGTTGCAGCGAGTGGGGGCTACTCTTTGTTGTGTTGCGCGTGCTTCTCATTGAGGTGGCTTCTCGTTGTGGAGCATGGGCTCTAGGCACGTGGGCTTCAGTAGTTGTGGCATGTGGGCTTCAGTAGTTGTGGCTTATAGACTCTAGAGTGCAAGCTCAGTACTTGTGGCACACAGGCTTAGTTGCTCCACGGCATGTGGGATCTTTCTGGACCAGGGCTCGAACCCGTGTTCCCTGCATTGGCAGGCATATATTTTTTTTTAAATCCTTATTAGACTATAATTGCTTTACAATGGTGTGTTAGTTTCTGCTTTATAACAAAGTGAATCAGTTATACATATACATATGTTCCCATATCTCTTCCCTCTTGCATCTCCCTCCCTCCCGCCCTCCCTATCCCACCCCTCTAGGTGGTCACAAAGCACCGAGTTAATCTCCCTGTGCTATGGGGCTGCTTCCCACTAGCTATATTACATTTGGTAGTGTATATATGTCCATGCCACTCTCTCACTTAGTCATAGCTTATTTTCTCCCATTCTGAGGGTTGTCTTTTGGTCTTTTTTATGGTTTCCTTTGCTGTGCAAAAGCTTTTAAGTTTCAATAGGTCCCATTTGTTTATTTTTGTTTTTATTTCCATTTCTCTAGCAGGTGGGTCAAAAAGGATCTTGCTGTGATTTATGTCATAGAGTGTTCTGCCTATGTTATCCTCTAAGAGTTTGATAGTTTCTGGCCTTACATTTAGGTCTTTATCCATTTTAAGCTTATTTTTGTGTATGGGAGTGTTCTAATCTCATACTTTTACATGTACCTGTACAGTTTTCCCAGCCCCACTTATTGAAGAGGCTGTCCTTTCTCCACTGTACATTCCTGCCCCTTTATGAAAGATGTGGTGACCGTATGTGTATGGGTTTATCTCTGGGATTTCTATTCTATTCCATTGATCTATATTTCTCTTTTTGTGCCAGTACCATACTGTCTTGATTACTGTAGCTTTGTAGTATAGTCTGAAGTCAGGGAGCCTGATTCCTCCAGCTCCGTTTTTCTTTCTCAAGATTGCTTTGGCTATTCGGCGTCTTTTGTGTTTCCATACAAATTGTGAACTTTTTTGTTCTAGTTCTGTGAAAAATGCCAGTGGTAGTTTGATAGGGATTGCATTGAATCTGTAGATTGCTTTGGGTAGTAGAGTCATTTTCACAATGTTGATTCTTACAATCCAAGAACATGGTATGTCTCTCCATCTATTTATATCATCTTTATTTTTTTTTTTCATTCTAATTTTCTGCATATAGGTCTTTTGTCTCCTTAGGTAAGTTTATTCCTAGATATTGTATTCTTTTTGTTGCACTGGCAAATGGAAGTGTTTTCTTGATTTCACTTTCAGATTTTTCATCATTAGTGTATAGGAATGCCAGAGATTTCTGTGCATTAATTTTGTATCCTGCTACTTTACCGAATTCATTGATTAGCTCTAGTAGCTTTCTGGTAGCATCTTTAGGATTCTCTATGTATAGTATCATGTCATCCGCAAACAGTGACAGCTTTACTTCTTCTTTTCCGATTTGGATTCCTTTTATTTCCTTTTCTTCTCTGATTGCTGTGGCTAAAACTTCCAAAACTATGTTGAATAAGAGTGATGAGAGTGGGCAACGTTGTCTTATTCCTGATCTTAGTGGAGATGGTTTCCGTTTTTCACCATTGAGGACGATCTTGGCTGTGGGTTTGTCATATATGGCCTTTATTACGTTGAGGGAAGTTCCCTCTATGCCTACTTTCTGCAGGGTTTTTATCATAAATGGGTGTTGAATTTTGTTGAAAGCTTTTTCTGCATCTATTGAGATGATCATATGATTTTTCTCCTTCAGTTTGTTAATATGGTATATCACATTGATTGATTTGCGTATATTGAAGAATCCTTGTATTCCTGGAATAAACCCCACTTGATCATGGTGTATGATCCTTTTACTGTGCTGTTGGATTCTGTTTGCTAGTATTTTGTTGAGGATTTTTGTATCTATGTTCATCAGTGATATTGGCCTGTAGTTTTCTTTCTTTGTGACATCCTTGTCTGGTTTTGGTATCAGGATGGTGGCCTCGTCGAATGAGTTTGGGAGTGTTCCCCCCTCTGCTATATTTTGGAAGAGTTTGAGAAGGATAGGTGTTAGCTCTTCTCTAAATGTTTGATAGAATTCGCCTGTGAAGCCATCTGTTCCTGGGCTTTTGTTTGTTGGAAGATTTTTTTTGTTTTGTTTTCTTTTTTGTTTGTTTGATTTTTTTTGGTTTGTTTTTTTGTTTCTTTGCGGTACGCGGGCCTCCCACTGTTGTGGCCTCTCCCACTGCAGAGTAACAGGCTCTGGACGCGCCGGCTCAGCGGACATGTCTCACGGGTCCAGCCGCTCCACGGCACGCAGGATCCTCCCAGACCGGGGCACAAACCCGCGCCCCCTGCATTGGCAGGCGTACTCCCAACCACTGCACCACCAGGGAAGCCCTGTTGGAAGATTTTTAATCACAGTTTCAATTTCAGTGCTTGTGATTGGTCTGTTCATATTTTGTATTTCTTCCTGGTTCAGTCTTGGCAGGTTGTGCATTTCTAAGAATTTGTCCATTTCTTCCAGGTTGTCCATTTTATTGGCATAGAGTTGCTTGTAGTAATCTCTCATGATCTTTTGTATTTCTGCATGTGTCAGTTGTTACTTCTCCTTTTTCATTTCTAATTCCATTTATTTGAGTCTTCTTCCTTTTTTTCCTTATGAGTCTGGCTAATGCTTTATCAATTTTGTTTATCTTCTCAAAGAACCACCTTTTAGTTTTATTGATCTTTGCTATCATTTCCTTCATTTCTTTTTCATTTATTTCTGACCTGATCTTTATGATTTGTTTCTTTCTGCTAAGTTTAGTGGGGTTTTTTTGTTCTTCTTTCTCTAATTGCTTTAGCTGCAAGTTTAGGTTGTTTATTCAAGATGTTTCCTGTTTCTTAAATAGGATTGTATTGCTATAAACTTCCCTCTTAGAACTGCTTTTGCTGCATTCCATAGGTTTTGGGTTGTTGTGTCTCCATTGTCATTTGTTTCTAGGTATTTTTTGATTTGCTCTTTGATTTCTTCAGTGAACACTTCGTTGTTAAGTAGTGTATTGTTTAGCCTCCATGTGTTTGTATTTTTTACAGATCTTTTCCTGTAATTGATATCTAGTCTTATAGCATTGTGGTCGGAAAAGATACTTGATACGATTTCAATTTTCTTAAATTTACTAAGGCTTGATTTGTGACCCAAGATATATCTATCCTGGACAATGTTCCATGAGCACATGAGAAAAATGTGTACTGTTGTTTTTGGATGGAATGTCCTATAGATATCAATTAAGTCCATCTTGTTTAATGTATCATTTAAAGCTTGTGTTTCCTTATGTATTTTCATTTTGGATGATCTGTCCATTGGTGAAAGTGGGGTGTTAAAGTCCCCTACTATAAATGTGTTACTGTTGATTTCCCCTTTTATGGCTGTTAGTATTTGCCTTATGTATTGAGGTGCTCCTATGTTGGGTGCATAAATATTTACAATTGTTATATCTTCTTCTTGAATCGATCCCTTGATCCTTATGTATCGTCCTTCTTTGTCTCTTCTACTAGTCTTTATTTTAAAATCTATTTTGTCTGATATGAGAATTGCTACTCCAGCTTTGTTTTGATTTCCATTTGCATGTAATATCTTTTTC